CCTTTGGGTGTTTTGGTTGAAGGTTTGTTTGGCCGGTTCTTCCAAAGGATTGAGTATGAAAAAAATTCTACATTTTGTTTTAAATGTGGTAAAATTGGTCACGTAATAAATGATTGTAAAATGGAGACTTATGTTGCCAATAAATCTGATTGAAGGCCTGAAGTTATGAATAATGAAGGCTCTTATCCATCTGAAGTTGAAATTGGTTCTTCTTACAGTCCTTGGGTGCATGTTAAATATGACAGAAAGAAGAAGCCATTTTCTTTCAATGAAGGTCAGGAAAAGTTTATGATGAACAGGAAGGTTAATTCTTCAGGCAGTCATACAGTTTTATCCAATAAAGTGCAATCAGTTGATGAGCCTATTCAGAGTTCTATTATTGAAGATTCGAGTAAAGATTAGGTATTCAGTTCTAAAGGTGAAGCTGTTGTATTGGAATTGATCGAGATGCGGGGTGAAGGGTCATTCCAAAGGGTTTCTGATTCTGATGTTGTTATTTGTAAAAAGTTGCAGAAGGGTGAGGCGTCTATTATGAGCTCTAATTCTAAAGACTAAGACAAAAATATGCTTTGTAAATCATACTTGCCCCTGGATAAGGGAATTGATTCTAATGATATAAGTAATGGCTCATCAATGCAGATAGAATCTGGTTTGAACTCTTTCCCTATTTCTAACAATATGTTTAATGTTTAAAACGGGAGTGGTGATGGTAGTATTGTAGTAATAATGTGTTTGAAACTCACAGAGATAGTTCGGTTTTGGAAAAGAATATTGTTACTAATATGAGTTTTTCTAAAGATAACGATGGTTTAGACGGTGGTAGTTCAGTTGCTATAAAAGCTAAACTTCAAAAGGAACTCAAATCTCTTGGCCCAGTCAATATTCTTCCTCATAATAGGAAAATTGAGGTGTTGAACAAAGATGGGAGTGGGGGTCCTTCCCCTTAATTCTTTAAATGACTTCCATTGCATTTTGGAATTGTAGATGGGCTAAAAAAAGATAAGCCTCTCTATATTTAAAGAAGTTTGTGAAAGATTATGATGTGTTTTTTGTTGGGCTTGTGGATACCAAAATTTCATCTATTGATAGATTGGAAGTCAATAAATTTATGGGTATCGATTGGGACATTTTACTCTTTCCTTTTGATGGTATGTCTAGGGGTATTATGGTTTTTGGAGATTTGACCTTGCTTCTTTCTCTGTTATTGAGGCTTCTTCTTAAATTGTTATTGGAGAACTAAATGTAATAAATAAAGGAGTTTGGAACCGTTTATGGTAGTAAGGATATTTATAAAAGGAGTTTATGGAATAGCTTGGAATTGTCTTCTTCTAGAGATATTCCTTCGGTTGTGGGTGGGGATTTCAACTGTATTTTGTCTCAAGAAGATAAAATGGGAGGGAAAATTTTTGTTTTCGTTTTTTTTTTTTTTCCTCAAGAGCCTAAAGAAATGAAAATATTCATGAATAATAATGATTATCATGATGTTGGTTTATTGGGTACTAAATTCACTTGGTGTAATAATAAGAGTGAAGGTGTTCATGTTTTCGAAAGACTGGACAGATGTTTATTAAACTCTATTGCTTTAGATATTGTTCATCTTGCTGCTATTAGGCATTTAGAGTGGCATTGGATCATTGTCCGGTCGTTTTGAAGATTTTCAAGTTCGATTTTAGTCAAAAAAGAATTTTAAGGTATAAAGATGTGCGGGCATTATATCATGCCTCTTCAGCAATTGTTTTCAGATCTTGGAAGAAATTTGTTGAAGGAGATTCGGTTCAGACCCTCGATAAAAATTTTAAAAGAACTTTGAAAGCTTTATTCCATTGGAGCAAAGCTAAACTTCAAAATTTCATTATTCTAAAGGATTCTCTTAAAAAGGAGGTGTTAGAATTGCAATTGGAGGAAGCGGATGGTAGTTTATCATAAGAGAAATTGTTGTTGCTAAGATCAAAAGTTAATGAGTTGAATATCTCTCGTGCTCGTTTAAATACTTGGTGGAGGCAAAGGGGCTAAAGTGAAGTGGATGCAAGAAGGATATTCTAATTCAAAATTTTTCCATGCTTTTGCTAGTGCTAGAAGAAATGAAAATTGAATTAAGCAAGTTAAAGATATCAATGGATTGATTGTTGAAGACCAGAATGTTATTGAAGGATTTTTTTATAATTTACTTAAAAACAAGTGGAGGGAGAGGAATTGTGTTCTGGAAGGCTAGCCTCGTCCTTTAAATACTCTTGAAGATGATAACAAAAGGTTTTGAAAAATGATTTCACTAAGGATGAACTTCAGTTGGTCGTTAATCATCTTGGGGCCATAATTTTGCTGACAACAAGCTCAGTTTTAGTCAAAGAAGTTAATAATCAAATGGTTCCTTCTAACTACCATCCCATTAGTCTTTGCTTGTTTATTTACAAATTGGTGGCCAAAAGGTTTATAAATAGATTGGAAGTGATTATTCCTAAAATTATTTTTGAAGACTAGGTTGAATTTGTTAAAGGTCGTTCTTTCTCAGATCATATCATTCTGGCTTAAGAGTTGTTTAATAAATTCAGATTATCTAAAGTTAAAAAAGGTCTATTGGCAATCAAAATTGGTATGAAACAAGTTTATGATAATATATGTTGGTCGGCATTAAGGCAAGTGTTGGAGTATTTTGGTTTTCCAATAAAATTTGTTAATCTTCTATTGGAGTGTGTTGTGGATCCATAATTTTCTATCTTGATTAATAGTGTCCCTTATCTCCATATCTATTCATAATTTGTTCTCAGCTTTTATAAAATGCATTTATTCAAAGAGGAAGAAAACTTAGGATCAAAATCGCTCCAATGCAAAAAAGATTTCTCATTAATTATATTCGGATGATATCCATATTTTTTCTGAAGCAAATTCTAGGAATGTGAAGAAGGTTAAATGTATTATTTATAATTATTACAAGTGGTCTGGTCAAAAAGTTAATATGCAAAAATATGTTATTTTGTTTCGAAAATCAATCAAAAGGAAGAAAAGAAATATTATTCCCCACTTGTTGGAGTTCAAAGTTGTAAATGAGATAAGTTATCTTGGAGTTAAGATTGCATTGAGGAGGCTTGTTGTTTCATATTTTCAGAATTTGATGGAGAAGGCTTTGAATAAATTGAATGCTCAGGGAGATAGATTTATTTCTCCAGCTGAAAGGATGGTTTTTGTTAAATTTGTTTTTCTTTCTCTTCCTATATTCCTATTGACTCATTCATTAGTTCCTATGGGACTTTTGAATGATTTTGATAATATATGCATAAATTTTATTTGGCATCAGCAAAATGGGAATCAATGCCTTCATTATGTCTCTTGGGATGTCTTATGCAAAGCAAAAAATAGGGGAGGTCGTGGACTTCATTCAGCCGCTTTAAAGTAGGTCCACTTCGTGCTAAATTTGCTAGGAATTTCATTGATAAACCAAATTCTCTTCTTAATAGGAACCTGATTCTAAAATATGAAAGAGATATTTGGAGTGTTGAAATTAAGAAAGGAAATTCGGTGACGTGGAAAATAATTGTTAATGGTGTTAAATCTCTTCGTTCAATTGTAAGGTGGAATGCTTCAAGAGGAGATTCTATCAGTATTCTAAATGATGTATGGATTCTTGATAGGAATATTGATAAATTGCCTACATTTGTTGTGGATCTAGATGATATGGGTTATTTTCTTAACAACTTTATTTTAGATGGCTCATGGAGTGTGGCACAACTGGAAAAATGTTTTGGCAAACATTTGATTGATCTTATTCAGCATATTCAAAATGATTCATAATCTTCTATTAATCAGATGGAGCTTAAGACAAAAGAATCTGGGAAATCTATTACAACATTGGTATATGAAGCTTCAGTTGAAGATTACATGGAGGATAATTATTGGAGTTGGATTAAGAAGTTGAAGCTTAGACCCCAGGCGGAGCTATTTTGGTGGTGTTTATTTAATAATTAATAATGCTATTCCTACTAATGATTTTTTAATGTATAAAAGATTATTGGATCATAATGCTTGCCCAAGAGGTTGTCTTTCTATTGAAGTTGTGAACCATATAGCAGCTGATTGTTCCAAGCTTATTCAAGTTATAATGTATCTAAATAAATGGGTTTTCAAGTTCTAGTTTTCTCTTCTCTTGCGAATTGTAGCGAGAATCTGAGAAGGTTTACGTATACTAATCCTTTTATTGCAAATTTATATTGTACATCGGTTTTCTTTTCTTGGAAGAATAGGAATAAAGTTAATCATGCAGGAGTGAAAGATAGTTTAGCTTTCCTTTAGTACTTTGAAATAGGTTTTTCTTTTAATGCTATTTGTATTTTTCTTAAAAAAATGCTAAAGTCACAATTAAAAACTCCCTGTTAAGCAGTTCCTGGTATAAGCATTCACCAATTTCATATCAAGTCCAACAACAACATAAATTAGATAATATCTTCAGTGGATTGGATTTAAATTTACTTCAAGAGTGAAATTTGTTTTTTTACAAAGAGATTAATAGAATTCAGCTAATGGCCGAAACAATCGGAGAGAGAAAAAACCTCTAACAATCAAATAAGAGAACAGAATAAAAGCATGGTGGGAGTGAAATAGATGAAAATGAAACAGAGAATGGATGACTTAACATTTACAGGAATAACTAAAAGCAGCATTTTAAAAGTAATTGTTCTCTTTATAAAAAAAATTAATAATCTAACACGAAACAATATAAGGTTAAAAATAGACAGCCTCGAGTTCAAATCACAAGTATGTTACAATCAAAAAGAGTCAAATTAGAAGCTAAAGACCATTTCAAGATTCAGACTTAGTTTCTTACATAAAACATAGAATTATCAACAGCATATGGAAAACAAATTATAACTAAGATACAAAGAAATGCCAGCGTATATCTTCCGTTATCAACTGATTAATGCACTATCTTATAGGTTAAGATTATGCTCTATAGAATCATAGCTTCCAAAACATAAACAAGGCTTGAGCAGCGGTCTTTTTCCTCCTACCTGGTTCTGCCCGAAGAAACCTAACCACGCGCGCGAAGCCCGAGCGACTTCCGATCCTGCAAGAGGAGAAGAAGGCGAAGATTTCTTCTTCATGAGAAGCCCTAGCGACTTCCGATCCGACATGAGGAGAACAAGAAGGCGAAAAAGCTCCGAAATAAATGCACGGGAGAGAGGAATTCGAATAGGCGTAAAATCAGACGGTGCGGATTAAACAAAAATAACGGCAAGATCTATGTTTGATTCTTCTTTCCTTTTATAAAAATTAGTTTTAGAAATATTAGTTAAGATAATGAAATTTTCTAACCAAAAAGTAAATATCAAAAAAAAAAATCAAAATAGTAGAAAAATACATTCTCTAAAAATTTTCTTATAGAAACTTCACATTCAAATAGCGGCTAAAAAATAATTTCATCGTTTCTAAACATAAAAGATAAAAAAACTTCGAAATAAATGAGTCCTAAGTTTATCGGAGTTTCCCCTTCAATTTTCGGTAGGTAGATTTTCGAACGTGATTTTGACAAAATGTTTCGAGCGAATTTTATCCAAAAAATTATAAAAAATTTCGACAAATTTTTTTGTAAAGTTTTTGACGAAATATTTAAATTATGATGAAACTAAAAATTTTTAAAAGTAATACTATTAAATAATTTATGTTTTGATAACGTTGTTAGATAAATAGTTTTAACATTGTTAAATTAATAGTTTTAAAATTATTGTAAAATTAAATAGTTTTAAAAATAATATATTTTAAATAAAGTTGTTAAATTAATAGTTTTAATGGTGTTAAATTAATAGTTTCAAAAGTATTGCTAAATTAAATAGTTTTAAAAATAATATATGTTAAATAAAGTTGTTAAATAAATAGTTTTAATGGTGTTAAATTAATAGTTTCAAAAGTATTGCTAAATTAAATAGTTTTAAAAATAATATATGTTAAATAAAGTTGTTAAATAAATAGTTTTAATGGTGTTAAATTAATAGTCTCTGCACATACGTGCGCGCGCACACAATATATATATATATATATATATATATATATATATATATATATA